ACTATATGTAATCAAGTTTCAGATATTCCCATAACACCCTTCATGTACAAAAATCAAAGAAGATTTATATATATTGGATACTGTGTGTTTGGACAGTTACAGTCCAGCAGAATTTTCCAATGATATAAGAAGCAAAATGTATAGTGTAAGATCAGAATGAAGAAAACCTTTGGGTTAATAACTTCTTTTCCTTCTTTCAAGACAACTTTAATCTAGTTGCTTTACTTAATGTTACTTCCACACATGAATTGGATAGTTAATAATCTCATCAAGGCAAATTCTTTATTTTTTTGTGGGTTGTACCCAAGAGGAAAAAATCTTAATCACCTGAAAGCCTCATCTTCTTCTCCTTACCCCTGCCCCCCAAATCAAAACACAGTGAATCAAACCAAAACCCCCCCCCCCCCAAACAAACAGACAAACAATAAAATTATGTTGCAATAGTGTTTTAACTAGGTTTGCTGGGGGGATGGGGAGGGAGGACTGAATGTTGGTTTTGAACAGAAGTTTGGCATTTGGAAGACTTGTTTGCACTGAACAGTATCCTTAAAAGAGGGACTAGTATAGGGTGAGTCCCCAAATAAATTATTACTATTCCTTTTCAGACTAAAAATAAAACATTTTAAATATATTGATTATACCTTCATCAGAACAGAAATATTCTATCTAACCTATAGGTTCCAAGAATCTCTATTGGGGCTTAATTTACCATCATTTCAAAACAAAACAATGAAAAGTGAAATTTTGCACATTAGGATATTCATAGTGACCACATAAAGTTAAAAAAAAAATTCACAGACTGTTAGCCATATATTTCAACTTTTTCTCACAACTTGAACCTGGTGAGAATTAAAAATAGCCTCAGTTTCATGTAAGGAATACTTATTTTTTCATTCCTTGTTAAAATCAGATGCTTTTCTTTGTGTTTTTTTTTAAAGAACATTGACTTTTGGATGGCATGCCATGAGTCCGAAGGTAATCAGACAAAAAAAAAAAATGTGTGCTCAATGAAAATCTTGATCATATCATGCCACTGACTTTAAGCCAAAATCTACACTGATTCAGACTAGAGTGTGGCTTAATCTTTGGAATGATACAGGATGTGCATTAATCTGAACAGGCTTTCAGTCATACCCATACTTCCCTGACTTTAAATGCTTTTCTTCATCTGTATTTCTGACTTTGAGTAAAGATTCAGAATTGCATTTCAAGTTTATAATTTTTGTGGCATTTTGATTCTTATTCCTGCCCCATCTCCATTGGTTTAAGATTTCTTTACCACTGTTGAGTGACAAAAAGTTGAAAAATTATGGCTAGTTGTGTTTCTATTTTAATAACCATACCTATATAATTGTCATTTTCATACATTAAAAAAATATTTATGCTTTCTTTTATATTTTAGTCAAGTACTTTCTTAAACAAAACAATAGCACCACTTTGGCATTGTTGGCCAAATCAGTAACAGGTAAAGCAAATATGCACACACTTTTCTGAACTTCTCTTTTCACGCACTTCCTTGTTAAAATGGAGAGCTAAGAAGACATAGTGCTTGGCCTAGAGTCTTCATTAATCAACTTTAACCGTTGATACTAAGTCAACAACCAGCTCGTGCGACAACTGAACATTGCTACCGGTTGTGTATGGATTTCACTTCTGTATAGAAAGCCTACCAATAATTTACCCTTTAATCTTAAAAAAGGAATGGACACTGTACTCTGTCTTGGGCAAAAGGTGCCTACTTTAATGTATCTACAGGGACTAAATGCAGTATCCCATTATTTGATTTTCTTTTCTCTCTTTTCTGAATGGTACAAATGAGCCTCGTAGAAGTCTTTCACACAAATGTAAGTGTAGGTTTGTAAGTGCATTTTGAGCAGAACATAAAATTTACTCATTTTCCATTTAAACTCTTAATGATTAATATTGTTACTATGGAGATGAGGCTCAAATTTTGCTACCTTGATGAAAGAGATATAACTTCAGTGGGTTTACATATGCAGTTCTTTTTGAACTAAAAGAAAATAATGAGGCTTAATTCACTTTTTTAATTCTGCACTTCAATGACATTCTGTGTAATAATTGGAGTTTTGTGTCTATTGTGGAATGCAAAAATTTGTGACTTCTGTCATGTGATTTACATGATATGGGAGGATGGGGAGTGGGATTTTCTTTACTATTTAAGTGATTTATGAGAATCAATGGCATCCAGTGGGAGCCCTGTTCCTAAATATCTGGAGTGCTTTTGAAAATCCAGCTGAACCCTTCATGTTCTCTAATTAGAACTTTCTCAAGTCAGACTACTTTATACTTTTGGGAGGGAGATGTTTTGGCTCATGCTTCAACTTCTGTAAGTAGCGGATTTATTGAGATTATTAAGCTAATGCAGCCCTTTATCTTTCACACTGACTGGTATATCATATGCTCCCTGCCATATGACTGGAGATTTCTTATACAAGTATGCGTTTCCCGTCCATGCATTTCTCACCTCTGCGGTGGTGGAGCTACTCTCCATTTTGTGATATCATTTATTCTGTAGTAAGGCAAGGTGTTGCCTTTGAAGCTTGTAGCTATTCATTATTTATCATAGTTTCTTTCAAGAATTGTTCTGATTTGTTTAGACAGTTGTCAAGTTCTGATGTTAGATATTGCTGTCTATAAGTGACATTTTCTAATTATGATTTCTCAACAGGAGAATTATGGTGGCATGAATGTGAGTGCATGAATCCAAAGTTAAGACCAAAACTTGATTAAATTTACAGGAATTACGTAGCACAATGAGGTATGGTTATTCATTTATGTTAACAGTGCATCAGTAAAATGTTATCTACAAAGAAACTTGCCACCACGGAGATCTGAAAATTGTTTTTTGTGTGCACACCTTTCCTCCCTCCTCCCCTTAGAACTTCAGAGGGGGTAGGGGACAGAAAGAGTCATGGGACATGAAATGGAAATATGCATTATATCTGCGACATCAAAATAATGGCTTATTCTTAGAATGCATTTCAGAATTCTTAACAGCCATTGAAGTAAAAATACTTCCCTCTCCATCCCCTTCACCAAAAAATAGCCTGTAAGAGCTGTGATAGATACCAGAATTGCTGATTATTGAATTGGTGGTAAACAGGTTCGTTTCCCTTCTGTTTCTCTATACTTTCTTCCTTTTTCAACATAGCTATCTCAGTCGGTGACAGCTGTGACATGTTCTTTTTATTCATTTACTGTTCTGTTTTTACATTGCAATGGCAGCCTATTGTGCATATAAACATGGATCTCACAGAAATGGAAGGGTTTAAAGAACTGCCAAGGAATACATTGCACTTTCCTTGGAAAAATTACGAAACCTCAATCTTTTGTGGGAAGAGAAAAGGAACTATAATAATTTGTTAGACTTTTAAGGCCTACCTTTCCTGTCTGTTTCACAAGAAACTATTGTGGAGCTGTACAATATGCAGTCTGCAGAAATTTTTCTCTTGAGTTTTAATCAGTAGTTCAGTCATCTACTGATGGATGTAGCAGAAAGTAAGGCAGATTTGAACCTTTAAAAAGAGATACTTCTTTTATCTAATCTGACATCTCCCTAATTGCTCCCTTCATACACTATTCTCCCTGCCCTCTCTGGGAATGACCAAAGGATACTTCATCCCTTATCTGAGCTTACCGTATGCAGGGTGATGGGGAGAAATCGAGTGGAACCACGTTGAAGTTCTGGACAAGATGGAATAGTGCATTCTCCCCTGTCTTCTCTTCCCTTCTCTCACAGAGAAGTTTATTGCTGACCTTGGGACACTGTTGGCTACCTATCTCCCATTGCTGCATGGCCGATCTAGCAGTGAGTTAATTTACAAAAGCGGAGCGTAGGACGCAATGTTATTCAAGGTAGAATCAGTGCAGTATCTATTAAGGTTCCATGGCAGAGATTATCCAGAAATTTGTCTCCCACAAGAGTGCATGAAAAGCCATTGTAAGCAGCAGTTTGAAGGACGTTATGGTTCATCTCTTCTTGAAGACTCATTCTACATTGTAATTTAGTGATTAGATTAGCTTTTCTGATTTACAGAGAGATGCAGCAGCCTAATTAACAGTCAATTTAGTCACATTTGATTGTAGGAAGAATTAAGATGGCGAGAATTTCAGTAACCCTCTGTTACATTTGAATAGAGTGCTGATGTTTCAGAAAGATTTAGGCCATGATGGGCTACCCTTTGAAGTCATTTGAGGGCTGTTTTTCAAATGGTCTTCTCCGGGCCTAGGCATCTATGAATTTGTGTTCCACATTACTGTAAGTGAAAACACCACCATTCAAACATCTAAAAGGAAACAAGTATCTGAATTTTCTTTTCAAGATGGGAAAGTTATTTCTGTGGTGGAATCTGAAGCCATTTTAGTTCATTTAAACTGAATATTTTAAAAACTATTTTGTTATTTAATCTTTGGCTTGATCTTTTCGTATTTGCTTTTACCTGTTACTGTTTTGGCCAGACCCTTTCATGTAACAAACTATAAAATAGCACCGTTGCACTATAAAACAGAGATTTGTACATACTGTTTGATATATGTGTATTATTGATATGCTAAATTTTAAATACTGCATTATATGGAGGAAGAAAGAAGTTACCTATAGTGTTGCAAAATAATTACCTGGAAGAATCATTAATGGTTTGAGAGCCTGTGTATGCTTTAACTGCTTTTAAAAATCTTTTACCTCACAAAATGCAATAAACTGCATCTTTGCAAGAGAAGAAAAAAAAAACCTGTCTTAAAACAAACGCATCTATAACCCATATTCTGTCAAAATGCCACAGATGGAATTAATGGATGTTTAAAACTGTATATGTCACCTTACTGCTGCTGTTACTGGGAATGTCAAACTGTGCAAATATGAAGACGACAAACAATGTTATCACACACTGTAAAACAAACAGCCTGTTGCTTGTATAGAAGTGCAAATAAAAAAACCCCACCACTTAGACAAGGCTGATGAATGACTCCAGCAGCCAGTGTTCATAGGTTAATTTAGTGCAATTGGATCCATCAAAGGCCCGTAAATTTGTAGGCTTTTGAGGGGCACAGGACTTTAAGAGATTTTGTGCAGGACAGTTACAACAGGTTAACAAACAGTAATACATCAACCACAGAATTTTTTAGTTCTGGGCTGGTTAAAATGTTCTGTTCTCTAAAGACTTAATATTGGAATGTTTAGTTGCATGTTGTTCACTGGGAGAATGCCCATTGGTTGAGATAGCATCAAGCTTATTAAACCATAGGGTTTTTTAAGTCTTCCGATGTTTAACAAATAATTTATTTACAGCAAAGTATCCTGCAGATGGCACATTCATTCTTCATTCTTGTGGATGGCATGTTCTTACATTCTGTAGTTTCTGTTTCCCGTGTTCCCTCTACTTGTATTCTTCAAATGCACTTCCTGAAGGTGTAGAAAAAAAAAAATTATTCCAGATAAATTTTAATACACTGTATGACCACAAAACTCATATTAGTGGGAAAACAGTTATCCTGAATGCTGGAATTGTTACAGCTCTTCTGCCAGTTCACAGGCAACTTAACCATACAAAACTTCTATACACTAAATTTCTTGTTCTCCTAGGCATAAACATGCTGATTACTGCTGTAGTTGATCTTGGCAGAAGAAACATCTGTATACTGGAACCTGGATGGTCTTATGCACACAGTGGGTACCAGAGATTTCCTTTCTTTCAGAACAACGATATTTGCAAAAGCAGGATGTAGAGGGGCCAGGTAACTTCAGAGTTATAACTGCAGGATTTATGGAGCCTCCAGGGCTTTGGTACCCAGTGGTCAGAGGTTTTCAGAATCGCTGAGTGGGGCTCTGTTACCTACATTTTGCATAAATGTCATATTAGGTGTGCAAGATTTTTGTTGGATAAGGCCTTTAGGAGGATAAAATGTGTGGGTTCACTGCAAGAACTGCAGCCAAATAATTTGTATTTTCAAAAAGAGATGGAGTGATGTGCCAGGCAAATCAAGAGAACTTTGCAATGAATAATGCCCTCAGCTCACTGTCTTTCCATGCACCAGCAAGATTCCAGCAGCAGTGGTGGGTGTGGCATACATCTTTCAGTTCAGTTTGATTTCCTTATTTGCCACGCTGGTAAATATTATCTGGGCCCAAATCTTTGCACATTCTGTACCAGACTAGAGGCAGAATTGTTAAGTGACCCTCCGTATATCTAATCCTCATCAGAAGTAAAATTCTTAGTTAACTGAAATCATGTCTGTTGTCTTAAGAAAAGCCAAAAGTAAAAAATCTCCCTGAGAAAGGTGAGGCATGTATATGCAGCTCTTCCACTGCATTATCTGCTATTTAAGCCCTATAAAAGAGGTTATATTCTTTAAAATTTAAAAAGTAATTAAATTTTTGCCTGCTTTTCTGATGGACAGAAAGAAAATGGAAGCTGATTTGGTGCATTACAGTAGTTCTGTGGTGTTTTTTAATGATTTCCTATATAAAATATTATTCTATATATAACTTTAATTTGCCTCTAGTATCTACTAAACGTAAAATAAATCAGAAACTGGCAAAGGTTCACAAAACTTGAGCTCACATAGAGCTTATTCATTTTCATTGGTTTGGACTGTTTTCTGATGGATATGAGTTGAATTATGTTCAAAATATAAAAAAAACTGAACCCAAGCAGTATTAGTAATTGTTAAACTAATTATACCACTAACAAGAAAGTGTATTGAGCAAAACTAAGATTTATCATCTCTGACAAGCCAAATTTGTTAATAGCAAAATATTCATAATGAAGAAATGTCTTTGTTAGGAATCTGCCATTCTAGATGTTCTTAGTCCAAAATGCAATACTAAAAGAGGAAAAAAGATTAATCATCTAATCACTATTTCCAGATTTTGCTAATATAGCTGTAGAGTAACTTCCTTAGCGTGGATCAAATACAGAAACAGAAATGTCAACAGAGTTCCACTTATCCACAGATTACAATATTTTTTGCTGTTTCATTGCCTGTTTCTCTTCCAGCTTTTCCGAAACTACTTTTTCTGTCTTTAGTTTTCCCTAAGTTGTACCTTAGTTTTCACCCTGAAGTACTCATTCTGGAGAAACCCTTCAATTTTCACTGATTTTCAGTCAGATCATCATTGCAGCACTTCACAGGAGTCTGCCACTGCTAAGGATCCTGCCGTATGCTACAAATGTTTGTATTGGTAACAATGAGCTAAGAAAACAGGAATTCCCTGACTCATCTGCCCTGTTTTTTAACTCATGGCAACAAAGAAAAATATCCTTCTCAATGCTTCGTCTAGATGCTCCTCTTTGAAGAGAGTTTACTAGCACACAGGAAAAGTTATATGTTCCATTTTATTTGCAGAAATTCATACATTCTTAAAGGCTACACAGTCGTGATCTGTAAAACAGACAGTGAGAGCCTTATTATGAAACAACAGCCATTTTGGATTGCAGTGCATTTCAAAGTATACGTAAGTAGAAAATTATATATTTTCCAAATGAAAACATAAATTCTCTCTGTTACTGTTGCAGTCTCACTTCAAAATGGCTTTATCATCCAAATAAAGCAAAGATTAAGACATAGCAGGGTTACAGTTATAACTCTTAATATTGACATGTAGATGGAAAAAGAGCTGTCATAATACATCGGCTAGCTTGGAAATCAAGGGAAGATGGCAGGTTACTTTTAGAACAATTTCTCCTCTTGAATTAGCATTTTGATGAGTAACTACAAAGTAGTGGCACTGGTGATGGCAGCAGTAATATGCATACTACAAAATGCTTTGACCCACATAATGCATTTTTTAAGTATGAGATGTTGAGACCATTGGAAAAAAGGAGATGTGAATGCCTGAATCAGATTCTCAGACCTGCATTTGCACTGGTATAGAAAAGCTTACCTTATTTCTCAAGTCTTTGAAAAAAGGTAAATAGAAATAAAATTGTTATCTGTGATGCTATCAGATACCCTGAGCTGATATTCAGACCCAGAAAAAGACAATAAACATTTTATAATGATGGATGCAAAATGTCAACTTCAGATTTGTGCGTGTAGTGTAGCAACATTTGTTTGTAATGAAATGACTAAAGCTCAGCACTAACGTAACCTATAAACAGAACAACAGCCCTGCTCCATTGAAGTAAGTTATTCTACCAAACTGTGCTCCAGGAACTGGGAAAGTAGACCACTTAAAAAAACACTTAAACCAAAACCCAAATGCTGGGTTTGTCTATTGAAAAGGTTATGAGGAGATGCCAAAAAAAAACTAGAAGTGTGAAAGGCATAAGAAACTGACTGTGTATGAAATCTGAGAGTAACTGTACAACATCTTATATATTCCACTTAATCCTCCCTTAAATCTTGAATCTAAATAAGAAAATATTAGGGGTCATATACGTTATTTTGCATGCATATATTCACTTTAAAAGTATATGTATCTTATGTATAACTTAAAAGAAAAATATTCTAAAGTAGAAAAAAAATTGCTCAACTGAAAAATGACTTCAGTATAATTATTTTTTTAATCAAAATCAGTGACATATCAACACTATGAATTAGCTAAATGCTTTCAAATTGGCGTAGCCTATCCAAAGAAGAAAGTATGAACATAGCATTGTCTTTCTTAATGGACACATGTACAGCTATCTGCAAAAAGAAAAAAGAAATAAAAAATAATTACGTAAGAAAATGTACCAGAGCTTTTTCACATAGAGTTTTTCTTAATGAATTCTGTTTCCCTTCTCTTCCCTACGCTGTATTTTCCTTTTATCTGTCATAAATCTGAGTAATAGTTTCTTCTACACCTTCTATATTTTTGTTTCCTTAATCTAATTTTATCCATCCACAGATATTAATGAAAATTTCAGTTTATTCTTCCCATCAGATTTGTGTTATTTTACCACACGTTTGCATCAAGAAGCATTTATGATTTTTGTACTTCTGTTCACCTCTCTTCTCCTTTTCCCATAAATTTTCTTTGAAGGTGTTGTTTTCTTTAACATTAATTTTTCTCTAATTTTATTTTCTCTCCTCTTTTTACCAAAGTTCTGTCTTTTCTGTGTGATGCACCACGGTTTGTTCAGTTCTTCATTGTTTCTCGTCTTCTCAGCCTCTTTGATCTTATTCCCTCCCCTTTCTTTTACTCTGCTCCTCGTTGTCTTTTTACTGCCCTTTTCACCTCTTGATTCTTTTTTGCTTTTAATTTCCTGGATGATTTCTTCTGCAGCTGCGTTCTTTCAATTATTATGTACTCCCGCTAATTTTTTCTTCTTTCAGTACCCCCTTTTGAATGCTACCTCCCCTGCTGCTGCAGGAAGATGCAAGATGCCTTTCTTCTGTTCCTTTCTGTGTGTAAGAGAAGTGTTTTCCTTCCTATCTTTTGAAATGGGAAGAGGACAGCTGCCTAAAGACTGACATCATTCCTTAGCCCTCCAAGGAAAGACATGTGGAGATCCATCAGAGAGCTGGCAGGTTTCTTGTCTCCTTTCACCTGAAGTTACAGAATGTTTTACCCATCACCTTGGCAACGAGTATAGGAAGGAGCACACAGGTTACTGGCCAAGCCTGTTTTCTTCTTTTCTTGCAAGCCTTAAATATATGTGTGCCCAGACAGGAATAAACCACAGGGTGTTCTTGTCTATAGCTGAGCTCTTCCTGAAGAAGTCTTCGCTTGTTGTCGTGTGTGCCCTTTGAGATGTTCATGGCTAAGGTGATTCTTCCTAGGAAGAGTCACAGAGCCATTACTCTAAAGGCTGAAAACTCTTGAGGAAGGGGTGAAAGGATTCCATTTGATGGATCGACTTACGGAAAAGAAATGGATGCTAGAACCATTACAATTGTTCTTTTCATAAAAATGATATTAGGGAAATTAGTATATAGTGCTGGTTTCCTGACTTGCCATTGAATCCCAGGTTTTTGTGCAGTTCCATTTCTTGTAAGAAAAAATTTTCAGATAACTGAAGGAGTGGGGCCAACATATGTGTAGGACATACAGCGTCAACAGCAATAAAATATATCATTAGAGGCTTACAGCAGATGACAGATAACATGTAAAACAGATGTTCAGAACTCAAACAGGAAAGACAGTAGGGCATGAGCTTAATGATAGCCTCGTCTAAGATGGGTTTTCCAAACTATAGGCTCTGTTGAGGAAGATGAGATTTAGCTACAAATATATACAGTATACCTAGTATGACAGAAGCAAAAATCTGGATACTCTGAACTCCATAACTGTACCAATAATACCAGTGAATATTTGAAGTGCTTGGAGAATATAAATCTCAAATACTAAACAGTTAAAATGAAGTATGTAGTGATTGCAGTGACTATCCAATTAATTTAGTTCTGATAAATAAATTTTTAAAAAGCCAAAACAGTGAGGAAAGAAAAAAATAATTTGTTCATTTACATGTAAAATGAATAGCAGAAGAGCTGTGTTTTCCCTCTTGAACACTCTACCTCTTCCTGACAAGGAAGAATGAGTGAGGAAGTCCTGGATAGATCAGTTGTTAAACACTTAGTGTTTGGTTTCTCTTTTGAAAGAAGTCTTAGGTTCAGTTTGTGATTGGATGATGTCACAGTAGCAGGATAAAACCTCTCAACTACTAGCTTAGCAATCCACATTTTATTCAGTGTTCTAAGACATGAGATAGAACACACCATCTGCTACTTACTTCCTACCATGGACACTTATTTTCCAAAACCCCACTAAGTCTCAGTGTCCCTAGTAGGCAGATCACATCACTTGATTGCTATGTTACCAGCTTTGACAGAATTTTCCTTCCCTAAAATACATTGGGCTTTCTGGCCCTCCCTCTCCCCCCAACCTGGCCTACCTTTTGTGCTTTTGGCATATCAGTGTGGCGCTGAGCACGTACAGAACGCGCAGACTTAGGTGGCTTTATTGGAGCACAATACATCTCCAGCCTCCTCAGGTCACAACTCTGGAAGCAGCATTCATCCACTATTCCCTTGTGGTGTAAGCGTCTACTGCTGGATCCATACCCTGTAGGCTTACCTATTCAAAACACAAATGGAAAGGTTTTATGTTAGAAAGAAAATACAAAGATCTCAGCAGAAATCACACTAAGTTGTATTATTTTAACTGAATCACCAATGGTAGGTGTAGACGCTGCCTGTGTGTATCTGTTCTAAGACCCTGTTCTCAGATACAGCTTCGAAAGATATTCCTGGAAATGGCCATCTTTGATCTCTGTCTGTGGGTGGTTGCTATTTAAGCATTTGAGCAAAATTGTATCTTCAAGAAAATCTTTTAATAATACTTTCCTAAGAACTGTCTTGACATTGGAAATTGAGAGGGAGGAAGCTGAAATCTGACATTTAGAAGCCTTGCAAAGGAAATTTGCCCTTTAGCTTTTGGATGAAAACTGATTGTTGAGCTGACTGAGGTAGCTGGTGTTTAAAGATCATACATCATGCCTGTGTTGTAGGCTAGTATTTTCTAATGAAAAAGGCTACGCTGAGCCACAATGTGAAGTCATTGTGTCTTCCAGAAGGGAAATAAATACTGTATACCACTGCACAGGCCGCAAATCTGCAAGCTTAAAAACTGGTGGGAAGCATGAAATAAGGTAGTAAATTTATCAGTGAAATGCAACAAAAATAGGAAGATGGCTGATAGAACAGATAAAAGTAGAAGATCTTATATTCTATAGCTTTGCACAAGATAGGATATGGGACTGATGCAATGTGGTCTTTCATGTGTTTTCTGTTTGCACTGGCCATCTGTAGAAACTACTTGATTGGTAAATGCGTTGCATTTTTCGCTCAGCTCCAGTAAAGGGTGACATTTTCATTCATAGAACTCTTACACTCTTTTTTTTTTTTTTTTATTTCAGCAAATGATTTATGCTTTCTTTAATAACTGTTGATTTCTCTGCTATACTGTGCAAAGAAAACAGACCCATTATTTCCTGGACTTGTTTGTATGCAACACAGTTGGATGTGTAGTCACCCTGTTATGACTAACTAGAAATGAAGGAGCATTAAAAGCACACAAAAAAGTAGTTGCTTGCTTACTAATCTATTTTAAAATTCTGGTAGAATTTGGTTTCAGACAGTAAAATTCTGAAAAGATTAAATGTTTTGTTCTGGAATTTTCAACATTAAATGTTTCCATTTACAGAATGATCCACATTGGTAAAGAACCCAAAAACATGGAAAAAAGAAAAAAAATTTGCACCGAGAGCCAAAAAATGAAGTAACTCAATTCAGTCAGCTCTACCAGTTTTTTTTTCTTGCTTTTTTCTTCCCCCTTCAGTTTTATCACTGAGACCAAAAATCTGTTGTTCACAGAGTTTGACAGGAGTTTACGTTTTAAAAAAATTACTCAAGCTAGGTAAAGGATAAGGGCATTGAAGAAGATGAAAAATCAGTTTCTCTTTGGGAAATTATTGCCTCCAATGCTTTCACAGCAAATTCTAGGTTAATATCCATATATTTGTCCTGCAGTTGTCAATTTGAAGACAACGCTGCATTTTGCAATTCTCTGTGATTAAAACATATGTCCACTGATGAAGAACCCTTGAGGCCGTGTTGCATCCGTAAATGAGAAGACCTCTAGTGGTAAAGTATGTCTAATATTTTAGCCAGCAATACAGTCAGCTAAGAACTAACTATCCCTATGAGCTTTGTAAACCCAGATAATAGGTTTTTAAATGTCTTTTCTTCCAGGGACTATAAATTAAACAAAAAGAAAAACATACTTACTTAGTATATTGCAATCCACTGAGGGCCTCTATACTGTACATTGCCTGCTAAATTATTTGTTTCATAAGACTAAACAGAACAGCAAGCCAGGAGTAGATTACAGTAATATTTTGATTTTTCTGTGTGTGTGTTTTGTTTTATGTGTATCACTGAAAAGTATTATAAATATTAAGACACAGAGTTATGGGGTGTTTTTCCCAGGCTATTATCGCTCATTGAGTTATGATATAAAGTACAAGGTTTTACTTGGAGATTTTTCTGAAGTCTGGTAATCAGGTTGGCTTAGCCTAATACTTCTAAAAATTGGTAGTCGTGACAAAATGTGCAGCGTCATTACTGTGAGGGGTACCCAGAGCTGTTCCACATTTTGTTCTTGCTCCCATTTAAATCATGGAAGTGCAAATCCTCTTCCTGGATAGGCAGATGTACTTTTCCTAATAGATCCAGCTCAACTCTAGGTGCAAATAGTTAATTAGTTAGCTCACTTTTCTCAGTCTGCCAATTTTTCATAACCAAACACACTCTAAAAGCTTCTGTTCAAGAATTTTCCTTGAAATGGTGTATCATAGCAGCTAATAGACATAGAGGTTCATTTGATTCCCTGGCTACAGCTAATAGTGAAAATAAGGATGGACAGTTCGTTGGTTAGTTTCATCTGGCTTATGACCTCTCTACCTAGAAAAGAAGCTGCCTGTTAAAAAATTCTGTTAGTCCAATAGAAGATTTCAGGATTAGTAATCATAGAATTGTTTAGATTGGAAAAAGTCCTTGAAGATCATCGAGTCCAACTGTTAACCTAGCACTGCCAAGTCCATCACTAAACCGTGTCCCGAAGTGCCACATCTACACATGTTTTAAATACTTCCAGGGATGGTGACTCAACCATTACCCTGGGTAGCCTATTCCAGTGCTTGACAACCCTTTTGGTGAAGAAATTTTTCCTAATATCCAATCTAAACCGCTCCTGGTGCAACATGAGGCTGTTTCCTCTTGTCCTATTACTTGCTACTTGTGAGAAGAGACTGTTCTAATATTTTGCACTCCTGAGAATCATACAAATGTTAGCTCCTCATGACATTCATGCTAGGTAGATAATATTACCTTTAGGTGACAAAATTCAGAATCAGTAAGATGAAATGTGTTGGCCAGGAGTTTCCATGAGTTAACAACAGAACTTAATAGAAGATATCTTCCTTCCATGAGTAGCAGGACTATAAATGTCTTTAACTTGTAAAATCCATTAGCAAAACAAGTGTCCTTGTTTTTTACTGAAGCCGATTATCTAGTCTGTAGAGAACTTATTGGGGTATTTTTTCTTAGTTGTGTGATCTTCTAAGAAGGACTAATGATGGCAGTGGCATTTTTTTGTATATGAAGGGGTTCTAAAGGAAATAGTCAAATGAAACATGAAGTTTAAAAAGTCTCAAAAGTTTGTTGTTGAATATGGTTAACGTTTAGCTTTGTCATGAGTAAAGCCAAAGATGAACTGGTTGGTACAGGTGATATTTTTTTTTTTGTTAAACTTTCATCTCCTTTAACAATCAATAGTTCTTTCCAATCTGTCTCTGTTGAGCCTGTACTTATACAGTATTGCTTGCACTTTGCCATTTTAAATTTAGTCCAATTGTATAATCTGATGCTTTCTTTCTTTAATTATATTTTACTAAAGAAGAGAAAACAGTAGCATACAATGGGTTATATAGCATTCTACCAGTTTATCAGTTTTATTTCCTGTACAAAATTTATGACTTTTTGGTAAATAGAGTAATTTCAATAGGAATATGTTTGATTTTTTTGTTTGACTGAACTAGAGCCACGTACTCTAACTTTTAATAATATCACTGATTTATTTGTGTATGATGTCTTCCCAATAAGTCAAGCAGGAACTTTTACAATTTTTTTTGTTAGTTGGACATTGTTGATTCTGAGTTTTATTCTCATCTACCTGCTATCTTGTTGTGTCACCACTTGGAAGTTACTTACCCTTCAGTGCCTGAATTTAACTATTTATAAAGTTGATAAAATACCTTGAATAACCCATGAAGCATTGCCTGCCTTATTTAGTAATCAGTAGCAACATTTCTCCTGCAGTATCATATGCGTGAATAGTTAATAGAAATCCTGAATCCTTGAATCTTTCAGGTGGAAATCTTGGTGTACTTCAAAATTATTTTTACTATAGCCAGACCAAAGACATCTTTGAGTTGTTTTTCTTTCTGACAGAATAATAACTTTATTAAGGAGGATATAATATCTTATAGCTCTTAAAAAAACCTGCATGTTACATATAGCAAGTTTGGAAAGGAATCACCAGCACATTAGTGATGTGGTCAGCATGGAAACTTGACATTGATTTATAGACTTAAATATTCATGTATTACATGGCATGCTAAATGCTCATCCTTCATAAAAAGATAACATTAATATTGTGAAGTCAAATGATTTTATTGTTTTTCTTTAAAATAAGTTTGCCTAAGGTTTTTGAAAGACCTAAGCAGCTATGTATACTTAAAATTCCTATGAAATAGAAAGTGATATTGCCTGAAGTGCTGTAAAACAGATAGAGCAAATAAATAGACAAAAATGGAAAAAAATATTCTTTTTCAATAACTATGATTCTGGACGCTACTTTTGAGAAGTATCTGATGACTAAATTAATTTTAAACCAATAGATTTTAAATTGCTGCTATCCTCCTAAGTGCTGCATTATACAAAAGATGCTGTCACAGTGAAAGATGAAGCAAGGAATTATAAGGAGATACTACCACTTCTGCAGATATTATTAGGCCCATCTTCTGGAAGGAGTGCAGGATCAGATGGTCCCAGTTCATCAAGTTACCAAAGTATGCACTTAGATCTAGGCAAATGTTCAAGCTCCTACACTGTCTGTTCGACTAAAGCACATACTCAACACTAAGCACATGCCTGAGTGCTTTCCTACGTAAGAACAGACATAACTAAGCACTTGAATTAATTTCTGTTCCTTAATATTTTCATTATATTGCCTTAAAATGCTGACTGCTGTGTCAGTATATTGGGCACCCATATAGTTCTTTCTGACACAATTTGAGTGCTGCCTTCCAGCTGTTATCAAAAAGTTCCTTATATTTACTCAACGTTCAGAGTGCTGCCTGTGGACATAGAACAGTCCCAGGCATTCCTTTTTGCTCACGTACACTGATTTCCTTGGAGGTTTCTTTCCTTTTTTGTCAGTTGCCAGCTCAAAAGAGGTTTCATATCATGTAGGTCAAAGTTTACTTAATAGAATTTTTGGCTCTCATTTAATCT